AACTGGTTGCTGCTATACTAGTAGGGCGAACATACAGATTTTTTTTTTTTTTTTTTTTTTTTTTGGCATCTAACATATAGCGTGTCGGGTTTCGCCCGATAAGGCAGCATGGCCAGTTCTTTTTTCTTTCTTTCCCAATGATGTCCACACGATGCAAAAAAAAAAAAAAAAAAAAAAAAAAAAAAAAAAAAAAAAAAAAAGAGAGGTACGTACTATACATAGTTCGGAAGAGAGGAGAACCCGGGGTCAGGTCCCATTTGCAAAGAGGATTGGATAAAATTCCTGAATCTGGACGAGTTTTGCGCAGAGATGCAGAAAAGCAGACCAATCGGAATTTTTTGCATCTTTCCACAACCAAGTCCAGATTCAGGAATTAAATCCAATCCTCTGTGCTACCGTAGTGGGACCAGAGGCCCCTGTATCTCAACCATTTGCTTTTTTTTTTTTTTTTTTTTTAATTTAAATTTGCTTTTTTCTCCTTTTGTTTTTGAAGAATTCGAGCGAATGATGGATTTCCGGCGATGCTGCGCTGCACCGTGTCCTACTGGGCCGTGGTCCCACTAGCGAAGGGGATAGATAGGATAGAAATCCTGAATGTGGCTATGTTTTATGCAGAGATACAGAAAAGCAGTTCTATCTCGATTTCCTGCTCCTGTCCTCAAACACGTCCAGATTCAGGCATGCACTCCGATGCTCTTCGCTAATGGGACCACGGCCCTGCTAATACCAGCAAGTCTGTGCCTTGGAGTGGTGCGCTACGACGCTACACCGTGCGCACGGGTCCCAACACCAACAGCGGACCATGAGACCCCTCTATATACTCTCTCACACCAGTACCTTCTGTTCCCCCCGACCCTGCGCACCGGTCATCACATCCGTACCTGGATTGAAAGCTGCACTAAATACACAGGTTGAATGGTGACCAGTGTTGTGTTCAGGGGGAAGAAGAAGGGAGCCGAAGGTCATTCCTTGGGCCAGCGAAGCGGAGTACGGTGTGCGCGTGTTTGCGCGAGTATGCTTGTACCGTACATGTACGTGCGAGTGCGTCCACGTTCCGCCGCAAGTGTGCGCATGTGCGCGCGTGTTTGCGCGAGTATGCGTGTATATCATGGTCGTGTTGCATTGTGCGGATGCGCGAGGTGGCTATCTATGTGCGACAACACGTGGAGGTGGCTATCTACGTGCGACAACGTGGAGGTGGCTATCTACGTGCGACAACGTGGAGGTGGCTATCTACGTGCGACAAAACGTGGGCGACAAAGAGATGCCGCCTTCCTCCGAGAGAACCGCACCGTCACCGCGACAATACCGCACCGAGAATAAGAACTTGTATCCATTTATGATCAGGGTGCGTTGTGTTGGGGGGAACCACGGTACGGACGGAGGTTAAGGATGATGACGACAACAGGGGGTGCTAATTGCGCATTACGAGCGACGACATGGGCGGCACGTCTTTCCCTCCCTCACGACGTGGGCGACACGTCCCTCCTTCTCTCACGAAGTGGGCGACACGTCCGTCTACCAATGTCGGAGAACTTCCGGCACCGTGCCTGCAGTTCGTCCCCGTCAGACACCAGGAGGCTGAAGGGAGGGAGGGAGGGAGGGAGGGAGAGAGACGCCTCAGTTTTCCCGGTATGAAAATCGAGAGGAAGGCGTGTACAAGATGCTGCCTTTGTTTGTCTCTTGCCGCCATCGACAAACGACAGTTCGACGCCGTGACTCTACACTATTCTTGCGCGGCATGCACAGCTGCCCAGTGCGCGGCGTGCGCAACTGCGCAGCGTGCGCAGCGTGCGCAGCTGCCCAGCGGGAAACGAAGAGGATGACGAGGATGGGAACGCGACCAGGAAGACGCAGGGGAAGAGTGGAAGAGCAGAGGAAGAGGGACAGGGTCATGGAGAGGAGTAGAGAGAAGAGAGAGGAGAAGAGAATAAGAAGGGAGGGTAATTAGTGACGTACGCAAACCGCCGAACGCCGCGGGGGGAGCGCCGATGTTGATCCTCTCCGCGAATGCAGGTCCCGACAGGGCGATGGCAGTGGAGGCGACGGCCGCCGCGAGAGCGTTGACGGCGAAGCGGCGGGAGATGTGGTCGGCACCGGACTCCTCCTGGGACTCCGCCTGCGCGCGCACGGCGAAGGACCTCAGCGACCTCGTCGAGCTCTTCGCCGCGGGGGCGAACACGCGGGAAGCGCGGGTGGCTGGGTTGCTGATCTCCACCTTTGTCGTGGCTCCCGCCAGACTGGCCGCGGCCATAGCCGTGTTGGCTGCGGAGAGGGTCGACGCCGCCATGCCTACAAGCTAGTAGCTCTGCTTCTCAGCTAAGGAGGAGTGCCGACAAGGCTGCTGTCTGCCTGCGCGCTGGCGTGCGGAAGTCGACGTCCCGCGCCTTTCGTCCGCCGACCCCCGCGAAGTCAACAACGTCCGCCAGCTGCCAGCAAGCCACTCAGCGCAACTGCCAGATATGGCGAAAACGCGAAGCTTTCTACTACGTCCACGTACGTACTACGTCGAAAACGCCGCTGCATTTCCTTCCTGCCTGCCCCGGCCCCNCCCCGCCCCGCCCCTCCCCTCGGCGCCAGCGCGCCAGCTGCTGGTGCGCGCACACCCCATTCCCAATCTCGCCATCCGCGGGAATACACCGACCGGCCGGGGTCCCCGCGGTCGGTAACCGAAGCCGCGAGAATCCACGTGGCTCGTCCCAAGCCTTTCCCGAGCCTCGGTCGCAAGCCTCGCGCCGTCTCCCCCTTACCCCGCCAGCGGCTTGCCGTGCCGCGCCGAGCCGCGCTAGCCGGCTGGGTGGCCCGGTCACGACGAGTCTCCCATAATGCACTGCGCGCCAAGCCGTGAGAACCCCCGCGGGTGGTCCCGAGCCTCGATCGCAAGGCTCGAGATCCACCCCCCACCCACCCTCCCCCGTCCCCGCATCCCCGTTCGCCCACCCCAGCCTACCCATAACGGGTTGCCGAGCCTAGACGGGGGGTCCGCCATCAGACAAGGGCCCGTAATGTGTAATTGTTTTTTTTTTTTTCTTTTTTCCCTTGTGGAATTGTAATAATAACTTAGTTTTTCAAAAAGAGGAAAAAGAACAAGAAACAAAAAACTGCAATGCAACGAGTCCGTGACTCCGTCCGTATACCGGTAGTTGGCCCACCTCCCCGGCATCCGTCCGCGAAGATTTTTAATTTTTAATGCCTCTGGCTGGAAATGGCTCGGCACAGAAAGGTTGTCCAGATGCATTCATTTCATTCACTACCGTCGTGCGGTGCCGTCGCCGGCCTGATGATGAGGAATCTCCCCGCGCTCGCAAGGGGGCGGAGTCGCGCGCCAGTCGCCAGTCGCCAGTGGATAAGGCGATTGCCTCGGATAGCTCTTGCCAATCGCAACCGTCGTCCTGCGCTACCAGATGGCTGCGGCCTGCGGCAGAGAATCAAATCACAAGCCACTCAGTGTCCCATGTGAAGAAATCACACCCTCGCTGCCATAAGCTCCTGGGGGTGGGGGGGTCAAAAAGGAGGGGAGAGGCAGGCATCAATTTGCACCTTGACCCAACGGGCCTACCTAGCTCAGTTGGTACCCCCATGAACTGTTGAAATACAGACCCAAGCTCGAATCCAGATGGAAGCAGATCCAGAGCCAAATCGCCATGAAAAAAAAAAAAAAAAAAAAAAAATCGCCATGAATTACCTTGGGGCCAGCCAGTTCAACGATGATATCTCAAGACGCTGGACCCGGTTTCCAGCAGGAAAAAAAAAAAAAAAAGGGCCACCCGCCCAGCCATTTAGCTCCAGAGGCCGAGCCCTGAAAGTTGCAGCTGTATACGGGCCACATAATTGATTTCATAGGGGGGAAATGTGCTGGTGGTTCAAAAGAAAGAAGAGGAAAGGAAGAAAGAAAGAAGAGAGGGGGGGAGGGGGGAGGGGGCGGAGGGGGCGGAGGGGGAGGGGGGGGAGGAAGAAATTTCTGCCTTGAAGAAGGGAACGAAAAGGCAAAAAAAAGGGAACCATAGATTTCTGCCATGAAGACGAACCACAATCTTTTGCGTCAAAGCAGGGCTGGAGCTCCCCTTACTACTGGCACTGGCAGCGACGCCTGCACAGCCCTACATGCCCCGTAATTTTGCGCAGAAATGGTAGGTGTTGTGCGGACGGGATGGGAGGGGAGGGGAGGGGAGAAAAAGGGGTGGAGGTCTCCACAATCCCATTTGAGTTTGGGATCCCAAGCCTACAGTCTTCCCCCGAATACAACGTACGGTCATTATAGCTGAATTTAGACCGAAAGATACACCAAATTCAGCTATAATGACCGTACATTGTATTCGGGGGAAGACTGTAGCCCCATGTGAAGACCATTGTCCTAAAAAAAAAAAAGAACAATGTTAGGGCCAGATCCCACTGGCAAAGAGGATGGGAATAAGTGTCGTAATCAGGACATGTTCCACGCAGAGATGCAGAAAAGCAGATCAATTACAGCTTTTTGCACCTCTCCACAAACACGTCCAGATTCAGACACTTATTCCAATTGTTTTTGCCGGTGGGATCTTGCTCTTAGGCTATACTCATACTATGACTTCTCCGACTCAACTCTAGACGGGATTGTACATCAGCAATTTTCTCATGGCAAACCACAACTCCCTCCATCTGAGGATTCTGATCACTCATGCCATTATGTTGTCGTACCAAATACCCTTACAAGGGTATTTGGCGTGCCTTTTGCAAATCACGCCCGATGCGGCCTCGTCCGATGTTGACGGCGTTTCAGTCCCCGCCCGGATGAGCGGTGCACGCGGTGTGTCAACGACGAGGTGCAACCCTGCGAGGCACGAGGGGTGTGCAGCATCAACGGCCAGTGACAGTAGCCCCTTCTTCCCCGTCTCCCTTTATTTCTTTGTTTTATTTCTATTTTTATTTTTATTTCTTGCTTACTGATTGGTGATCCCGTTGGTCGGTGTCGGCTTCAAGACCGGCGTCGGGACCAACGGGCCTAGCTCAGTTGCTACATCGCTGGACTGTTGAAATAGAGATCATCCCGGTTTGTGTCTTGATGATGGCCGGTCACCGCAATGATGGTATCTCAATGCTATCGCCCTCGTTCTTGGACGTGGGGTGCCTGCCGATATGGGCTGTTGTGGTCGACGTTGCAATAAGGAGCGCGAATGAAAGCCCCATGGGAAGCTGCCATGGCGGCCGAGGACCTTGAGCACGAGCCTCTTTTGGCGGGCCTGTTCGGGTTTCCTGCGTGTTCGGGATGCTGGCAAAATTCCTCTATCCTGCCCATCTTGAAACACGTACCGAAGGGATCAACGTGCATGAGAGCAGGTGGGTGTATAACCCACGAGGCAGAAGAAACCTGAGTGGCAGGAAGCACCTGCAGGTGCACCGTCCACCACCGACAATCTGTTGTGAAAGGACTTGAGGTCAGCGTGCTTATTGAGACCCGATAGATGGTGAACTAGGCCTGGCCCAGCGGAGGCTCACAGCGATACTGGGTGCAAATCTATCGTCGGAATTGGGTATAAGGGCAAATGACCAATCGAACCATCTAGTAGTCGGTTTGCTCCAAAGTGCCCACCGGATAGCTGGAGTTATCGAGGAGATCGGGTTGCGCCAAACGCTGTCAGAACGAAGGTGAAGAAGAAGAGGATGGCGACGGGGGAAGATGGTCAACATGGTCGGGGTGAAAGCGGTGTCTCGCTCATTTCTCAATGAAATCGAGCAAGAGAGGATGATAAACATGGGTTTTCGTGGTGGTTGACCGCGAATTTGAAGTTGGTGTGGTAAGTAAGTTAGTACATAGGAAGCTAGTAGGAGAAGCAGTTGCGCAGAGGAATGGTGAGGACAGGTATGGAGGAAGCTGATAACGTGAAACTCACCCGATTCTTGATGAAATCAGGTGCACTGGGGGAAGATGCGATTCCAGGGTTTTGAATCATGGCGGATCTGATGGTAGAATCAGATTTTTGGCTCGACGTGCGAATTTGGCAGTGCCGTGGTTTGGGGTTGCGCGAGGAAAGAAGAGGTTTGAAGAAAAAAATATATCCTTCCGTGTTCTAATCGAAGATTCATTCTTTTTTTTGCATGTTTGAAGAGGGTGCACATCTGCACACGAGTAAGAGGTAGGGAGAGGGAGGCTGACCTCTTCTTGGTAGTGTGGATTTTGGCGCCCATCGCTCTGCTGTTTGTTTTCCCCGCTCATCGCCCTTTTGCTCACGGTTATCCCCCTCGTGCTTATGATGACCGCCCCCATTGCTTTGTTACGGCCATGTCCCCGTTTGTTGGTTGGTGGGCTTCTTTCCCCTCATAGTCGAAATTGAGGTCGTGCCTCGCTCTCCCTTGCACGGTTGTCCGTTATTGGTGTGCATCACGGTGGTTGTCATAAGAAGTGGACTATTGAACTATAATCGCGACCCTCTTTTGGCCGAACAGAGTCGTTCCTCTCGTCCGAGTTTGTTTTCCTTCCCACGATTGTGTCTCTCTGAATTCGTCTAAACCTGGTCCTGTCAAGCGGCCAGGTGCATTATAGGAAGCAAGGGTTGATCGTGGCGATCAGACTATCACCGAGGAGGTAACAGCCACAAGCTAGGCGACGAGCGAGCGAGCAAGCGAGAGAGAGAGAGAGAGAGAGAGAGAGAGAGAGAGAGAGAGAGAGAGAGAGAGAGAGAGAGATGTTGGAGAAGAAAAGAAGAGTACATACCTGGTCGTAGCACGCCAGTGCACCTTCCTATGTTCTAAGGGAAGATTCATTCCCATATTCCAATTCCAACGGGGCAACAACAATCGACGGGCGCGGCAACTAACAACCATTGCAATGCACCTTCCCATGTCCTTGGGGAAGACTCATTCTCATTTTGTATATTTAGTGAGTAATGGAGCACAACCCCATCACCGCCTGCTCGTCAACCTGACCTAAGTGTTGATGCTTGTCCTGCTCACAATCGTCGCTGTGGCCATTTGTTCCCATATTGGCTTCGAGTGAATTAACAGTCAAGTATACATACAGGCAGGAAATGCTTGCAGAGAGGAGGGCATACAAGAGAGAGAAGGGTTCGGGGAGGCTTATTTGTTGGAGCTTACCTTTGTGCTCATCAGGATGGTCATGCACAATCGTGCTCATGATGAAGGACAACGAATGCCATACTACACGTGCAGTGTGAAAATGAGTGAACCAGGAAAAAGGGCAGTCGAGGGGGAAAAAAGAGGAGTGGGAGCAACACGTACCTGGTAAGAGTGAAGATTTGCATGGTCATCATCTTTATCTGTCGTTGTTGCTTCTGCTGACGTCGGCGAGTTGCTTCACCGTTTTTAGATGGAATAGAGTAGTTGAGTGACCATAGTATGGGTGTTGAACGTCGCAAAAAGGGGGATTGCATTCATAGCAGTGGCGAGCACATGCTTCATTCACTTCGAGTTCATTACTTTGATCTATGGCGGTGTCACATCAGTGTACTTCTGCTTTCCGGGCAACTACGACTTC